CGATTTTAATATAACTTTCATGGTACTTGCATCAAATAATATTTACAAGGTGCAACAAATGTTCACCACAGAATTCCTGAGTAGCCTATTCGACTTCTTCACTTTTACTCGTATATTGTAATATCAGCCGTTATGAGTATTATGAAATCGGATGTTTTTGTGCCGCCTATCGGCACCATTGTCAGTTCGGTCGATTTTGCGATACATAGAGACAGAGATTTTCTTTTAAATAACAGTTCAAACTAAAAGTTTGCAGGATGAGTTTACTTGAACAAAAGGAAGAAGCCTCGATTACATCAATAACATACCCAACACCTTGAGTTGTTCATCTGAAGAGGTTTTGATAAGGATTTTTACGTCATTTTTCTTTGTTTTTAGGGTATTTTTAAAGAATTTTTATTACATTTTATTGATTTTATTCGGCAGTTTTAGGTCATCAAAATCCGCTCCCTAGTCATTAGTACTGTAAGTGTAGTGCATGTTCTCTCTCCCCCTCTCTCTCTCGGGAGATGGCTGTGATCTTCCCCCTCTGGATGGTGAGATACGGCGCCGACCTAACGATGGCTAGCGGGGTTTTCACCTACCAGGTCTCTCCCAACAGCCGTTCCAGCCAGGACAAGCTCTAAGCTCCCGACCTGTCTCCCGGCATTTGTGGTAGTGTAGTGCATGTAAGTAAAGGATAGGATAGGTCAAGGAAGAGGAAAGAAAGATCGCGCGCGTTCCGCGGTACGTTTGCTAGGGTACTGCTCCGACATTCGCCTTGAATTGATCGAAAAAAAAAACACGAAAAGATCTAGCCAGCGTCGAAAATCCTGCCTACAACGGGACCCGGTCAGAGGCACCGCAGTGGCATCATCTGATGTCCTGGGCCACCTCTCCCGGCCGCCCGTTGGCATGCGGCTGGTGAGTGAAGAACGTGCTCCCGCGCGCTCCCTGCGCAGGGCCCGCGGCGGGCGACACGTGGCTGCTAGTGCTGATCGCGTCGAGCGCCGGGGTGCTGCTGCTGGGCGCGCTGCTGGCGCTGCTGCTGCTCAAGTGCCGTGTGTGAGTATGACCCTGCGCCCCCCCCACCTCCCACAAATCTCCACACAAATCTCCAGCGCTCGGAGTAGGGATGAGACACAGCCATGTTTCCAAACACACAAGTGTTCCAAATTAGAACATCAATGTGAATAACACTAGCAAACAAAACAACAGCGGTGAATTTAAACATTAATGTTTTTAAAACTTGGTGTTAAAATTATTTGAGAGAAGGGAGGATTTCATCAATTCCATCCTCTTTAACTATGAGTCCAGAGATTACCCACCACCCAACCCTCAAACACCCCCTATTAAAAATGAAAAGAGAAGAAATATTGTGTTTCTCGATTTATTCCAGGTGTTCTGACTGGTTGCACTTTGCGCAGCTAGGGAACCCCCTTTTAGTCGTAAGCGAAACTCTTCCAGAAAGTAGAATTTCCTCTTTCATTTCAGACTCTTTCTTCTCGGTAACTTTGGTCTGAAACCTTGGTTAGCTGACACGTAAAATTTCTGGGTATTTTATTATTATGACACTTTTTCTCTCCAAAATAAAACAACGACATCGTAAAAAACCATCGATTAACCTCAGCGGTAATAAACATCGACGATTAAAAACATCGTTCTTTTGAAAACTTCCACATCGAAATTGCGCTCCTATGGCCGGACAAGGACCTCTAAACGGTTTACTCGAGACCTACCCGAAGGGTAGACACACGTCTCGGTCAGGTTTGAGCAAATGCCGAGGTGCCTCCTTGTTTTGCTTCTGGACATAAAAGTAACTCTACTGTCTATACACGTTTTCTGCAAGACAGTGGATAATATCTGTGTACAAATTAACGTTCTCGCTGCAGTAAGTCTATTCGCTCGCGAATGACACGATGAGGGATACGAGTCAAAATCTGTAGCTGATTTGCCTTTGCAAATAATTTTGATTACAAGGGAGTGAATATTATATTAATTTTTTGCCAAAAACACTCGTTTACACCTGTATTCATAATTCAACTTGTGTATGGATTAAAGTAGTGATCCCAGAATTTCAGAAAATGTGCAAAGGCTACACTTCACTCCATAGTACATCACATGCAGTTTTTAAGTTTTTCTGTCGTTAACTAAATACTTCCAAGCTCAGTTCTGGCGGACGAATTCCTAGAGGACACTTGAGTCGAGTGATCCTTAAATGGCCGATTATTATTCAAGGAACAGCCCTTATTCTTAAATGAGTGGGTAACCTCTAATCTGTACGAGGGAGGACGTCGTGTCCTTTTAGTTTTCCTCCTTCAGCGTTTTCTTTACGGTTAGGATACTTCTTACGCGGCGCTCATTTTTGTACAACGATTCGCAATTAGTTCGCAAAATATTTTGAGTTCTATACGCAACACATAGTTAACTCGTTCACACTACACCACTATACATCACAAACAGGGTCAATCCATTGAAGGTGCACAAAATTCAACGATCTAGAAAGTGGGCAAGTCAAACAAGACGCTCTTTGCAGGAGATATATTGAGTTAGCACAACACGCAATTGTCACCTTGCTACTTTCCGATCTCTTAAAAGCGCAATCATTCCGCATTCATTAGAAACGTCTATGAAATCCCGACTTCTATAAATAACCATTTATTTTAAGTAATCACTTATTACTTCAGTGGCTTATTCATTAAGTGTTGAATTCGGTCCTTGATTCGTGGAAGAGTTTGAAGGGCCAACTTCAGTGGACAAAGGGAAGAGGGCAGAGGGAAAGAAATGACCTCGGCGCTGTCCCTGGCATTTACGGATGTGCCCTGGCTCCAGCTCCTTAGAGAGACGTGATGTGCACGGTGCACTAACTGTTTTCCTCTCCCACATGTCACATGATAATTTCATTGTTTTCTGACTTTAAATATATAATTAAAATTATCCTGCAAATGAAAAAGACACAGGTTAATTAAAGAATGTAGCAGAATTTTGCTTCAGGAACCAATCATGTTAAAATACCGTGCACTCATCCACGGAAACTGAACTAATGTTATTTTTGCCACCGTTTTATCTGTCACCTCACAATGTTATTAATCATTACATATTACTTTGCAATGTTTTTCAATGACCTAGCCAAAACTTTTTTGCCATCTTTAGAACAAGAGTTCCACATTTTCTATATTTTCTTTTAAAACACCGAAGGCGAGATGTGATCTAATTTCAACTACCGAAACTTAAATATACCTGAATCTATCAAGTATTCAATAAAAAGACCTAGTAAACATTGCATTCGACCACAAGGGCAAATTCCTTCCCGTGGGTGCATTACTTATTCGTTAAACGTTCGCCAGAGTAATACCAGATCGCGCCAGTATTCATGGTAACGGCATTTGTAGTCGTTGCACGGTCATCAACAAGCATCCTACCGCGAAGGCCCCTGATGTGTGTGTGTGTGTGCGCGCGGGGGAGGGGGGACGCTCCAGCGGCGTTCGTGTTGCAGGCAGCGTGCGGGCAAGGCGGCGCTGCACCTGGAGCCGGCGGCGCTGCGCCACGGCGGCGGCAAGGCCCACGGCGGCGGCGCCGTTGCGGCCGCGGCGCGGTCGCGGGTGGTTCGGGGCGCACGCTCCCCCCGCCGCTAGCGCCCCGCCCTGGGGCCTCGCGCGCCCGCCTGCGCCGCCGTGCTCTACCCGGCCACGGCCACGGGCGGCCGCGGCGGCGCGTTGCGGCGGGGTGCGGCGCGGCGCGGGCGGCACGGGGGCGTTTTGTGGCGGCGCTCACGCCGCGCGGCACCACGCGCCACCACTTCGCCACGCCCCCTGCCCGCCGGAGGCCCCGGCGCCCCGGCTCGCCGACCGCGGCGCCACCCCCCGCCGCCGTTGCCCGCCACGCCGCCGCCGCCGCTGCCCATGCGCCGCCCGCCGCGCTGCGCCTCCTTCGACAACACGGCCTTCGTGGAGGCAGGCGGCCGCCGCGGCCGCCGCGCTGCCGCGGCGTTCGGGAGCGCGGCTCCGCTGGCGGCGAGAGCAACCCGCTGGCAAGCGCAGCCCGGCGCCGCCCCCGCGGCCCGCGCTCTCTCCCCACCCGCATCGAGCATCCAAACCTGCCACCGCTCAACCTGCTGCCGACGATGCCGCGCACCCGCCGCACAGCCCCACATGCGCCGCCCAGCTCCGCGGCCGCCCCGCCGCCCCACGCCCATGCGCACGCGCACGCACACGCGCACGCTCACCCCGCGTACGCCGCCCCCGTCGTCCTCTAAACGGGCCTACACACACTCGCTCACGGGTCTCAACACACGCCACCCATACCCAAGGTCGCCCCCTGCTCTCATTGTTGTGTAACACTTATAACGACTGAGGAATCTCCACGGAGAACCTTTGCAACAAATATACTCGTATCAAATTCTTGGTGTATTTTTCGAGTTCCCTTAAGGATATCTCCTGTGTTTTCTGGTCGATCACGCCTTTCCATCTGGGCGACAGCTCGTGAGCAAAACGCGGTAGCAAGAAGGGTGCAAATGGAAAACATGGTAAAAAACGTAATGAGGTAGGTATATTTAGGACAATTATTGAGCGATTATTTACGGATACGCATGATCTCCTCGAATGGAGAAAGTAAAAGAGGATTGGCTAGTCAGAATCAAAATGCTGGCCAATTGTAGGAGGGCATATGCAAAACATGCTAATCCAAACAGGAAGCACAAATAAATAATTGATTAATAAATCTTGTCGTGTTAATGTACGGAATATTATGCAAACCTCGGCATTAAATCTCAATAATTTTATTCTTCCGTCATTCGCTCATGTTTAATTTTTTTGATCTACCAGCGCGAGGCCTCTTGTAGTACTTTTGTATGTTTGCATCTAGTAACTTTTCCTGTATATTGTTGTTTGTATGGAATAAAGAACCTAACATCTCAATACTACACAATTGGCATTTCTCTATTTTAACCTCAATTCATTTCCCTTCCCAGATGTTCACACTTACCATAAAAAATGCTTTATACGAATGCAGCGTTATTTACGAGCAATTGAGTGAACACTTCCTGTCAAGTTTCTATCGATTATTGGTTGACTTCTGATTGTCGACTCTCATTTGTTTCTGTAATGCTGGAGAACAATCGCCGCTCGCGACGCGAACAGTGACGTCAGAGTTGCGGTAGGCTAGGCGGCGCGGTGGGCCAGTCGTACGTGACATTTGATCGTAGGAACGCTTACGTGATTTGTATTTGTTGTTGTTCAGTAGTGTTTGATTGTTGTCGTTGTCCGACGAAATAAGACAATGTACGTGCAATTTTCTGTAATGTAGCTCCGTGCAATTGTATCTGGAACGTAAAGAGCCGTCGCGCCCAGTTGTACCTGAAATGTTCTCAAAATAAAGTGGGCTATGGATTTTCTACCATGGACATGAGTGTGACAGGTGTTTTTTGAATACTTAAAAGTACCTGTTTTCCTCGTGAATACGACCTTGAAAGAATTGCCAGAGACATGTCTGAGTCGTACGGTAAGGAATAACTTCGTTAAAATAATTGTGACATTACCAAGTATCCTTGTCACCAGTGTTGTTTTTTGTGTTCAGATTTCCTCTTTAAATTTTTGGTGATTGGGAGTGCGGGCTCGGGGAAATCTTGCCTATTACATCAGTTTATTGAAAGTAAATGTGAGTAAATACTATAGAAAATGTTTTGTTGACAATAAACAAATAATATTTTGTGTTTCTGAAGCATCAGTGTTATATTATAGTTAAAGATGAAAGTAGCCATACTATTGGAGTGGAATTTGGATCAAAGATTGTGAATGTTGGTGGCAAATCTGTGAAGCTGCAGATATGGGATACAGCAGGACAAGAGAGATTCCGGTAAGAGTTGCATGATAATGGAGGAAATGTGACAATAATAGAAGAAGTTTAATTCATCTGACAAATTTAATCAAAGAAAATCGACACACTTAAAAAAAATCAATTGTATGGCCATGTAACAGAAATACAAATGTTGTGTAATTTTTACCCCCCCCCCTTTTTTTTTGTCAAATTCACATATCACTATTTATTGTGTTAATTGTCTTATGTATTTAGGGTAATTGTAAGAATTCAATGCATTGATTTCAAATTCTTTTAAAATTTTAGTGATTGTGTCATTAAATTGCTACATACTCTAGTAGTTTTTAAAATCATTTTTACTTTGGTCAGTTTCTGTCATATTCGATAATTACATGCCAAGATGAAAAAGCTTTTTAACTTGCATGTGATATTTAAAATGTGTGAATATATTCCTTTTGAGAAAATTGTACAGTGTATTAGAATCTGTGACCAAAATGGAACTGAGATAATTCGGTGTTTTAAGAATGAATTTCAGTGTATAAATATACTAATAATTTATTACACTCATATATTTTTGAGATTGCTGCTTTGGTGTAATTCTGGCACAGACTTTTAGTGAAAATGTGTATTCTGAAAAATGAATTTGTATCTCTTCGCAATTCAAGTAAAACATAGGAGTACTCAGAAACATGTTCACTTCCACCACATGGCTACTAAAGTTGAAGAATTTTTTACAGGTTTTAGAAATGTTTAGAATTCTCCCCCTTTGTTTCACAAAATAGTGAACAATTTTACCTGTATTGAGACTTCTAATGGTAATGAAGAAAAACTTGAATAAAGGGTTATAAGTTTCATTCTACATATTAGTGGTACATAGGATCGATTACACAGAGACCCATTTACATGAAATTGGTTACTTTGAACACCAAGAAATGAATGCCAGACGAGTTGCTGGATATTTGTTTATTTTATTACACATTGAACTATTGATTAAATTGATATTAATCCTGTTGACCAATTTTGCAAATTAACCTGGGCAAGCAATGAAAATACACAGGAGTATGATGAAAAATTATTTTGAAGTTCCTCTCAACAATGCAGTTCCTTTCTTCGAAACAGGTCATTATAACTAATAGCTGAAGCCAGATGTAGACAAAAATTGCAACCTGTATGGATTTATTGAGAAGGAATGAGATGAGATTCCAAATATAAGGATGAAATAGGAAAATAAAAATGTATTTTCTTGTGTACAATATCAATCTCTAAAATTGTTATTATGCATTATGCAGGTCAGTGACTCGCAGTTATTATAGGGGAGCTGCTGGTGCTCTTTTGGTGTATGACATTACCAATCGTGAGTCATTTAATGCTCTTGCAAATTGGCTCTCTGATGCACGTACTCTTGCCAGCCCCAACATTGTCATTCTTCTTGTGGGTAATAAACGAGATCTTGAAGACGACCGTGAGGTTACATTTCTTGAGGCCAGCCGATTTGCACAGGAAAATGGTGAGCAAAGCATTTTATAATGGGCCACAAGCAAGCATTCCAAGTAAATTTCTGAATTTCTCTTAGATCTATTGGAAAATCTCAATTGAAGTTGCATATGGAGCATATTTTAATGTTGACCTCCCTAAACTAGTCATTTAATATGGTTTTACCTTCATTTGCAGAATTAATGTTCTTGGAGACAAGTGCAAAGACAGGAGAAAATGTGGAAGAGGCTTTCTTGAAATGTTCAAAAACTATCTTAGCAAAGATAGAAACAGGTAAAGGAAAAAAGGGAGATTTTTCAGATTTACTTAAAAGAAATATGAGTAAGCATGCATGTTGTCTACAGGGGAACTTGACCCAGAGCGTATTGGATCTGGCATTCAGTATGGTGATTCTGCCACTCGTCGCTTACATCGAGAAGGTGGTCGCCGGCAACCTGATTGCATCTGCCGTATGTAACATGAGGTGGCAAGAAGTTAATGTTTGCCCTTCAGTTCTATTTTTCTTCGTCATGATACTTCCACATTTCACATACTGATTCATTGGTTGTTGTTTCACACTTTCATTGTATAAGATACAGACTGTGTTAAGAGGAGTGGGCTATTGATGCAATGCAAAGGTAACACCACATTCTCTGTTGCTTTGACAGCTGACATAGCCTGTGTGGCTGTGCCTTGCAATTAGGTAATTCTGTAAGATAATGTATATTAAAAATGCCTAGAAAAGTAGATTGGACAAAGTGTGTTGCCTCTTTAATTTAATATTGTGGTGTAATTAAGAATTTGCTGAGCTTAGATATGGATAACCAATATTAAATAAATATTCATCCATACTGATAATAGCTTGGTAATATATTTCTTTTGTAAGTTGTTGTAGTTGCTTTTTTGCTAATCAGGAGATTAGCTTTTCAAATTGTTAACAATGCACTTTTGAGCAATTACTGTTACAGTTGAAAACAAAATGTTAAAACCTGATGGTTGTGAAGCATCAGAGGTACATGAAAGAAATACAGCATTTCAGAAGATGGGTGCTGGTACAATTGCTGAAATGCTGATAATATTTAAATACAAGTTTAAGTGTTTTTCTTTCTTTTCTTTGCCACAATTAATCAAAACGCTGAATCTTCTGTAATGTAAATACACTGTACATTGTACACAGGTCTGCTTGTTTCAGCCAAGCTGTAACTTGTGTATGCTGACTATTTAATGTGCCCTGCTGGACAATAAAAGTCATAAAACCACTTATCATAGTATCTGTTCCTTTGTAATGTTCCATCTTTCAATCACTATTCCTGTAGAGCATTGGTCTATTTGTAATTGGAACTTGGTTACCACACACCCATACTTAACATTGCAAGCCTGACACTCTTGTCACGATTACATCACCTCAGAATAGGATCATTAGCAAAGCTTTTTTTCTGTTAAGATTTTGAATAATCTTATTCTTGAACCTGGGGTATTCAAGTTAGCTGGGAAATCATCCATTTTGTTGTTTTGTAATAACAGGTTTCAGAATGATTTTATATTTCACTGAAAAAATTTGAATTGGATATAATGTAAAACATACATTGGGATTAAGAACAAAAAATGAGAAAAACAAAGTAACTTCACATTTGTGCCCAAATTGCTGAAAATAGAATCTAGAACTTCCATAACAATTCGAAAAGTTCAGGTACCATTCACAACAAATTCCTTCCTTTCAGAACTCTCCTGAGATTACTGTTTTTTGACTAAATCCAAATACTAAACACTTTGTGTCATGGGTGAGAAGATCCTCTCCTACTCTTTTCCCCCTAATAAATTCATAACTTTTCTTGCATTTCATGACTTGTGGATGAAAGTTATTGATTGTTTGCAAAGACTGTATTATCCGACACAGGAGACAGCAGTACAACACTTCTATGAACTTGTAATTGTAAATATATTTAACTTGTAAAATAGTTTAATATATAACACAGGCAATAGCTATGCTTAGTTGGAGACCCCTCTTGTATAATATACTGTAATAATAAAATAGCAAATTATTTCAGTTCTCCCTTACTTCATTACATTACTATTGATGCTAGATTTAAGCACCTTAAATTTTAAAAACCGCATTTTGAAAACAAAAGCTTTATAAAAACTAAAATTTAGTATTTTGTACCATTTGTTGCAAAAATTTTTATGGGAGGTTCCTGAGGTCAAAATGTTTTTGATGCTCTTTGGGTTTTCTCATTAAAATTGGGAAGTGGGGGAAACAAATTTAATATTGTGTCATTTTGGAGCTTCATCAAATATTTAAAGAAGTAATTTTAAATCCAAAGAATGTTTCCTGTCTTTTATAGAATAGGCTTCTGAATAACTTTCAAAGGAGAGGAAAAGGATTCTGTTGCAATTTGTAAATACTTTTTAAAGGTTTTGTATATTGAATGAAATAAAATTATATAAATACCTATTACCTATATGTAACACAATCAATGGAAAACTGAGGGGATATTTCAATGTTGCTTCCTTTAACCTATTTCTTCTGCCAGCAACAATTAAACTACATTGACCAAAATATCTTCAGCTTCTACAGTTGGACACTGTCAAATTAAATATTTACGAACATTGATGTGTTGTTGTCGATGTCACATCCCTAGTTAGAGAGTGAAAATGAAGTAACCCATAAAATTCAATTTGGCCATTAAATATCAGATTCACAACAGTTTTGCAGATCGAAAATCTTCAGAAAGTTCGCATTATGATCAACTGCTAAAACCTACCATATCTATTAATTACCTTTCTTTCTCTATTAATTAAAAATTATCATGAAACCTGTCTTAAATGGTCACTAATGGTTACATTGAAAATTGGCTTTTAATTGTGATAATTGTTATGAAATAAAATGGTTTCCATAAAGTCCTTTTAAATACCTTAAACTACAACTTGCACAACAAACTACACTGGAAGTATAAAAGTCACATGTGGATTTTACCCACTTTCACAGAAAAGGGCATGTAGATTAGTTTAAGAAGTTTACATCTCTATTTAGCTTCAAAGGTACTGCAACTTTCTAAAAAGTGTGCCCTTTTTTATAATTTCATGAATTTGTCTTCTTCAGATGTTAGCATGTTGTCTTTCATAAAGCCTTTTCTCATTTTCTAGGATCACTTGCTGTGTCAAACAGCATTGACTTGACATTTATTCTCTTACTTGCAAATTTCACTTTCCATCCTCTCCAAACCCACAGGCAAACTAAACTTAAAATTTCAGTTACCATTCTGAGAGCAGGGCCATCTTTAGGACTTCCTGTGTCAATCTTCAGATAGGATTAGCATATGTAACATGCTCTACAAGAGAATGCTCCAGACGAAAGCACATCATTATTTCATGGATACATTTATTAATCTTTGTTGTACCTTGGAACAAATTTTAATCCCCCACCATATTGGTGATTAGACACTGTCCTTAATTATCTGACTTTGAGTACCGTTGCAAAAAAAATACTGAATTACCTTGGCTACTCAGCTCTTCTGCTTCTTGTTCTAAAATGACTAGAGGTGTCTAAATAATGGAGGTGGTGACAGCTCTTTGTACCTGGCTGCTTAAAGAACAGAATATTTCATGTGTCTGTGGACAAATCTGTCAGTTGCATGACAAAGATAATTAATGGAGGTGACCATTGTACACAGGTTTAATGGCAATTCTTTATCCCAAGTCGGTGACTAGGTTCTTAAAAGGCAGTGTATATTGCGATGAAAGTAACTTTTCATGATCATTTTTATTAGCTTGACCAGTTTGAAAGCTCCAGTCATTGTAAATAATACAGTTTTAAAAGTAAAAAACTATTTTACAGTAGAACCCAAATTTTAATACCTAGTCTCTGAGCTGTGCATTACAGAAATATAGGCCCTGTATTGTGGGAGTGTGACCATTTTAATAAAGCTAAGTGCTGAGAATAAATTGCACACAATAATTAAACAATATCTTTACACAACTTCAGTTTTCTGCACTTTTCTAACCTCCCAAGCTCTGGAGTGGGAGCATTCAAAAGAACTAATTAAATCGCCAAAAGATATAATAGATAGTTTAAAATCTAATTTTGTAGAATATTGCTAATGAAACTTTATTCTTTATTTGTAATCCCTCACAGAACTTGTATGCCTAAAATCTTTGACACACGAGCTTTGCATTGACGCATGTTGTAGATTAACACCATCTCTTAAGTGGAATGGCCAAAATGCACATGTACATAAGATAGTGTTATTCTACAAAGCACATTATTTATGACATGTTTATGCAATGCTCATGTGCATGGGCCTATAGATTTCACCAGTCAACACGAAAACCTGGTTTCACGTAGTCTCTGAGATATGCATGAATCTGTATTGCAGTAATCTGTTTTTGACATAATCTGCAAACTTCAATTTTTTTGTATCTTACATCTGTTGGATGCAGGACTGGGAAAAGAATTCCCTATCCAGCAGTGGCACACTTAAGAGTTTTGTGTGGCTAGTTTTTAATACAGTCAAAACAGTCTATCCATAGCCTAAGAGAGGAATTTATTTCAATATATTTTATTGGCATGTTTTGTCACATAAAAATAAAGAATCTATAAAGTAAATGTAACTGAGTAAGCTGGAATATAATTTGAGAATAATTTGCAAATGTTAGTGCTGAAACTGCTTGAGATGATATTCCGAGCATTTAAATACCGACGATTCTCTCTTTTTGAGATGATTTGTCCAAGAACAAGATTAGCAATACCAAAAATTACTAAACAATATGAAAATGTGCTTAAGCACCATAAATTCAGTTCTTGAAAAATTGTAGTAATGAAAAGGGTTTGTAATTAATTTTGGGTTGAAACAAGAAAATAAACTTTTGGCTAAAAATACGAAGTTTAGTGGTAACTTCAAGTAAAGTATAAGTAGGGATAATGTATCCTGCAACGGTTGGAAAGTCCCACATAACGAGCATAGCAATTGTGAAAATGTATCACAGAAAAGAAAGGATCACAACAATAACAAAACAAAAGTTTCTTTAGATGTAATTTAATAAACACACTACAAACCAAAGAAACTTCAAAACAACATTTCATTTAAATATATCTATTTCATGTAAATAATTCTTAATTGCAACAGGCAGCAGGGAATGGCATCTGAGCAAAAACACAATACAATGGCACCCTTTTATTTGAGAATTATTACAATATAAATGTACAAAATGTATTATGCTCTTCTCTAATTTATACTTCAACATGAACATTACAACAAAATAGTACTTCAGAGTTGTTTGCCGATATCTGTCACATTGTTCTTGCCAATAAGGGGGAAAATTATGAATTCTGTCCTCCTAGAATGTATGAAACTGTTTCCACCAAGCCAAAGACATTTTTATAAAAATTTCTCGAATGAAAACATTATGCAGGAGACCTCCAGATATAGCAATTCAAAAGGAGTTACTCACCATATTTTCCACCAAAATCAAAAGTTTCTCTCTATCTTTCTTGTTTAAACAGTCTAACAGAACACACTGAAGATAGGCACTATAAAACTAATTAAAATTGTGAATAATTTACAGATGCACCTGAAATTACATTTGAAGGATTCTTGGAGGGGGGCCTATGAATAATTTTATCACCAATTTTTTGTATCCATGTTAACATCTAAGGAACTATTTAAAGTGAATACACCACTCAAACTACAATGATGGCAATGTAATTGTAAGGTAAGTGTTATATCACATGACCACAATTAGAAAACTTATAGTGTCCCTCCATAACTTATTTACTCTTAAAGGTTTGGTAAAACTATTTAATTTGCACACTTTAAACAATGTAAAATTCATCAATAAACATAAAACATGTATAAGATCTGTGCACATTCCATGACCACCTGCTGCTGCCTTAAAATAAAATAAGTACTTAATTTAAAATTATAGCTTAATGCATAGTATTCTTTGTATATATAGAAATAATACTCGTGATATTTTTATTCAATTCAAAAAAGTGAACAATGTCACAACACTACACAGCAGTCATTGGGAGACACTCCTACATTATAAAAGAGATAAATCATTGCTTTGCCATTGAAACACATCATTCACTCTGGAGAAAACAAGACTGAGTACAATATATAACTCACTGGCACAACATATTAATTGCACTTATCCTTCAAGAGTAACTGATTTTTAAAAAATATATCTCATTTAAAATCTATAAAATATAGGGAGTTACTATAAATGACAATCATCATTCAGAAGTCAGTCCTATTGAACTGGACATGCACTCTTGTAATGCATAAAAGGGCACTACAGCAGGGGGGAGGGGAGTTTCGTTTAAATAACCAGGTCTGGCAAATGAATGAGTATTTTAGTCATTTTAAAACTACTGTGACATAGCAAATTCCAATTAAATATTGAGACAGAACACTATTTATAGAATAAAGATGTGTTATAAAACACGAACATTCACACCTACATTCTCACATACATACAGACTTCACACACTTCAAAATCAAGGCACCCACAGCCGTTCTGGAAATAAGAGATCTTATTCAGGTTCCATTCGTACTCCAGCACTTCTCAGCAAATTCTTTGCTCACAACTTCAAGATAAATGCACAGGACGTTTTGTTCTGTGACTTCACGAAATATTATCTATACCAACTCCTCACTGACGTATCTAGTCACATCCAGAGCCCCAATTTGTTTTTCCCCCTTCAATATATCTGACTGACATAACAAACTTATAAGATATTGCATTTAAGGCGAACTCCCCCAAACATTAATTTTCTTCTTAATGTTATAATAAAATATCCAGAAACGTGCAGACTGGGTAAGAACGCAGATCTTGACGAACTGACGTTGCTTGTAAACGTTTCTGTTTGACTACTGCATTTCTTGGTTATTTTCCCAATTCTTGTTGAGAAGCAATGAATACAGATTTAATGTGAATAAGAAATATTTTTTTATTTTCTTTGCATGACAATCACTCATTGTTCATCAAGAAGTCAAATCATCAAGGGAAAATGATTATCCTGAAATCTAAAATGATATTCTATGATTAAAGATATTTCTGAACTTCGACAACTTGGAGATTTCAAAATTTCATCTCCAGAGACAGAAGGTAAGACACCAGGTGTTGGTGAGAATATATAAAAAAATGTACATAAATATAATGGTTTCCCCAAAAAATTGAACATTAATACCTTTCCATGATACTATGATATTCTATCGACATAAAACCAAACAGAAATGAAAAGTCACTCTTAATGGTCACCGTCCATTAAAAACATTTGATACAAACAAGCTGCAAAGATGGTGTATGTGTACTCCAATTCCAAGAAAAGTATGTATGTATTTATTATTACTATTATTATTATATGGTGATATCACAAATAATGAACTCCTTGTTGTACTTATGATTACATATGGTACTTGGTACACATATGGTTATTAACTCCTTGTCATACTTCAACTGCATCTTTTAATTTGCTCTATGTTGGCCTAATGGATGCAATAACTTGCAAATAGCAAGCAGATAAAAAATTACATCAGCAACAAGGAAGTTATGATGTAAGGTGTGAAAACCTAGTTGCCTGATCATATCATTGAAATTATCTAGAGAAACTGTTCATCAATGCCGTACAAGCTATTAAGGAAGTTAAAACGCACATACAAGCTAAATTAAGGAAGTTGTTGCGTTATGTTGCTGAGGCTCATTTTTCAAAACTTAGTGAATGCTTTGAGTTGTATAACATTTGTTTTTCGAGGGGGGTTTATATGCTTTAAGATTAAATAATAATAATAATAATAATAAATAGCTCTGACAAGTTATTTGGATTCTCAATTATGATGTGAATTTTAGCTCATTAAATCAGAGCTGACCTGTGCATTGGAAGCAATACGGAACAGAAAAAGAACTCCAAAAGTTCCCTAGGCTGCTTTGTCTTTGGCTGATGCCACAACCACACAAGAAGGCAAGTGGAATACAATTACACAAAACAGAAAACAACCTGAATTTTACAGTTACCAATTACAGTTGTAGTTGGACTTGTTCTAAAAATAACTTTTGCAGAAAAACACCCAAACAATTATTGACAAAAATTTGTCATCTCTCTTCATTCCATATTTTAGAATCTGGGACTGAAATGAGGAGCCTCGTGTATTTCTTCTTTCATGTATTTCAGTTGAACTAATTTCTCTGTGGATTGTATTATTTCTTCGGTGACATCAAATAAACATTCTGATCGTTCTCAGCTCAGGCTACTCAGAAGAGGACTCATTACTTAAAACATTTAAGTGAATTACTATGTGATTGAGACTAATAAGGGCACAAACTCAATCAGGATGTTTTCTGTAGTGTTTATAAATGATCTCCACTGCTAGAGATTTGGTAGGAGCTTGAGCAACAAGGCAGAAGGCTTGGGAGAGGGACTTGCCCAGCTTCTCTCTCTCAGCACACTCAAGGCACACACACACTTAACACAAACATAAATGTGCTGAAAGGAAGCCATCTGTGCACCCCGCTACCTCCAAGAACAACTGCATGGCTTCCTGGTACGCTTTGCAATTAACTTTGGCTTCCAAGCAGTATCTTACGCTTCATTTCACACACCTATCAAAAGCGTGAACTCCAGTACAGGACAATCTTGTTTAAGAACTTTTATAAGAAAATTTATCCAGAAAAGAAAGTGTCTCTGAATAACACTTAGGACACCCAAAGTGAACATTAAATATATCTCAATTCTTACTGTCAAGACCTTGTATCAAACATCCCTTCGATTAGTACTTTTTGCAAATGTATTAATCCTCTTTAACATGGACTTCTGAGGTTTCTTGTGTTTGTTTGCTTTTGTTTCGATAAAATTTAATATTTTTTAAGAGAAATAATATCTCACTATATAAATACATTCTCAGATATTGGCATAGCCAGTTTCTTTAAAGAACTTTAATACTCCTGGATGCCTTTACATGGGGAAACATTTATTTTGAAAATTGTTGCGAATAAATGTCCTTAAAATAATACTGATACAAAATATTTTTTAGTTGCCGAGATTTCTTAAAATATCGAACCAGAGTTAAGAGATTCTTGCATTTGTGCTCGGCAATAACTTTATGATAGAAGGACTATGGATTGGAAACAAGATTGTTGCATCAGTTGAACCTACAAGAGAAAAATTAGAAATAAAAGTATGCTTGTCAGTATTTTAAATACCTGATGTCTCATAAAATATTGAACATGTACATGTTAAAAATGTATTGACATTACTGAAAGGGTTAAAACCAGAATGGTATGTGACATTTCATAAATTCTGAGAAATCTGTTTATTAAGTCAATATCACTGTAAAGTTGTGGTGCTTTGTTTCATTATTAAAACCATTTCAATTGTTCATTAAAACCACAAAAATTCATTGCCACTGAAATAGTCTAAAATAAAAGCATTTTTCTCAGAATTTATAAAATGTCACTTGGACCATTCTGGTTTTCAGCCATTCAATTGAGCCTCATAAGTCCATGTTTCATTTACATTAATACAAAGCAATTGACATTTTCTATCTACAGTATTTCCTTGCTTTCAATCTGACATTGTAGTAACGATTACTGAACAAATGAAAACAGAAACATGAGTAAATGGACAAGAATATGTGACTTCTAAAACAAACTTATCAAGTTTGCCATACTTCCCTTGATAAATCATCCAAGAGATGCTTAATGAGTCTTTCTAATAACACCTACAATATCCTCTCAACTTTGAAAGTTACAGTAATTTTTGCCTACTATTCACACATGTCAAACCTTTTAAAGGCATTTAAATACATCTGAAAAGCAATACAAAATATACACAATTCTATAAACAAGATTACACTGTACAAAGGTATAATTCTTCTGAAGGAACAAGTCAATCTGCCACTGACCTAATGGCAGTTTGCACACTTCTCAACAATCATTCAGTGCTACAATGGATAAAACACTGTATAAAAATATTTATGTTTCCAAATATTAAACATGATGCAATTTTTGGGATAAAACACTTCAAGAATCTAACATATTCTACAATAAAGCTAAACTACTATATTTTTATACTATAATGATGTTCTTTCTTCTTTTTTTATATTCAGTGTGACTGACAACTCCCTAACTTCATCTTTAAGAGAGGAGAGATAAAAGATGGGAAATATAAAATAAAATACGATAGATCATATTGTGGATACACTTAATACCTCGAAGACATAGTAAGTAGGGAAAACATATTTCTTTCATCTTTGAGGAACCCCCATGGTAATTAGAATCGGTCGTGGCCAAGACAAAGTATGCATTGAAAGAACACGGCTATCTATAATTATGAAAAGTGGGAGACTAATAAGTAATCGTGAACACATGCAGGATTTTGAATATGACAGACAATAATCAAGTTTCCAATTGTTTCTGAATGTTATTGCTACTATTGCAAATATGTTACTAAACTATAACTTATTAATTAGATTTTCTACAGAGAACTAACATCGCAAGGTATTCCTGCTACACAATGCCATATGATAATTATATTGAAATTAATTATTTGAAAAGGTAAGATTGTGGTCCAAGGAAATGAGACATGTCATATACTCATATTATAACATTCGCCTATAAACACACTTTATATTGTTTTATCTTCTCTTCATGGACAATGGGTCATTTCTATTGTTTTTCCAGTTTTGATCTTGAATGAAGTTTCACATAAATTATTTTTGAATTCATTGATCCCAGACATATCATTTAATGTCTTTAACCGTTTACACATTTTTATTTATATCCTTCACTATTTTCTGCTATGATTGCTTCAGAGAATGTAAGACATAGAATGGACTACAGCCACATGTCTGCACATGTGCACACAATTATGTACATAAAAGACCTTGATGGTAAAGCAACAAGCTGATAACAATGTCAGTTAGGATTAAGGGAATCCAACTGAGGCTAAGAATTACAGAAACTACACCTCAAATAATCCTGCCAGGCACTTGGATGCAAAAAGTGAGGAAGATAGATAATATTAATAATTAAAAATTGTACTAGGCTTCACTGAAATTTCATATCCTTACAAAAACTAAAACTTTTTCTGTATGCCATGGAAACAACACAGACCATTAAACCACTAAGTCACTAGAAAAATTAAAAAATACCATCAAGAAGATCAAGGTATGACTTTTTTTTTTGGTTAAACAGTAGTTTTCTAAATAAATTGGTGAATGTATACATTTGTAAGTAAAATATGTATGATTAATTTACTACATAATTTTCCTGCATTCATAGCTTCCCCTCACCTTTTGTGAAAAATTGTGCAATCTAAATGATTGTTTCATAGCCTCTCAACCAGTAAGTTACAATCAGTAACTGCCTCCAACAAGCTTGATGAACAAACAGTTTAAGTAAAGAGATCACATAATCATATCTGTAAACACCCGAATTATTTTCTCCACAAACAATGAAACCACCCACATCATCATTGCCATTTGAACAATAACCAAATAATTTACACGAATGCAGTATAATCAAAAGTTGTTCATTTGAATTGCCTGATAACTGTTGCCAATGGAACATTCATATCAATTGGCCCCAAGTTTTCTTTTGTAGTCAGAGCAAACTGTTTACAGAGAATACAAAACTTTTTATGTGAAAGTACAGTTCTAAATTTTTTTAAATTCTAAATAAAAGTCAATTTGTAAGGAATTTGATGTGATAATAGTAGCCTGTAGGAAGCTACTTGCTGCAAACTAATTACTTTCTTTAATATAATTTGCTTAAATAAAACAAATCTACAAGAGATGCAATAAATTGCCACAAATTTATCTGAAGCTGGATAGACCAATAAATGGAGTTTAAAAACAATACTGAGAACAATCTGCAAAACAACATTTGCAGAATTAAGTGTTTTCTAGCAAACAACTATTGAAGACACAGGAACAAGAATTCTTATATCTACTGGAACACATAAGATGAGCATAATTGTCTTGTTATAGAAATTCTGCACAGAGCAACATTTATCTCCCCAATATGCTCACAGCCAGAGGAAACTTGTTCTCTGCACACATACAGCACTAGGTGCACAAAAGAAATATTTCTCATAAATGATATAAAATGATTCAAAGGCATTAGTCTCTTGCAATTAATACACTTTAAGCAGGCATGTGGCACTTTATCACTCCAGCAAAAAAAAATCTTAATCTCTATTTGTACTAAAAATGATATATGTTGAAACACCCATTTGAGATGGACATTGTATGATAAGCAGATGAAAATCTCCTCTCTTACCATATCACCTTCCTTAGGAAGGGGGCTTCAGAAAACTCTTGAGCACATTCTAGAGAGCTTTAAGATGAAGTAGAAGTTGCAATCTACAGTGGCCCCCTTAAAACACTTTAGGCACCAAACGGGCTGGCACTCGCCGGCAGTATAACTCCCAAGCAGAGTTGTATCGTTGATGGCATCTTGCTTCATTTCGAAACATGCGGTGTAAAATGAAGAGAGTAGCAGCAGCAGGGATTACATAAGGCAGCCAATGTGATGTACCTAAAAAATGTAGTAAGCCACAAATAATAATGGTGCAACAACAGCAAGTACTTTCTCATTTTATTTGAAAGGGTTAAAAAGTATTTAAAGGCAACTTGTATTCTACTCTTCAGGAAAAGAAGCAGGAAGAGGATTCAAATTCACTGTTTTCCAAGGTTTTAATGAAAATTTCTAAGAGCTCTTTGCTGAATTGAGCAGAAAATGTAAAGAGAGAGTGGTGCAAATGTTCATCATAGCAATCTCAAGCTCTTTCTTCTGCTTGAGCATGCCTCAAGGTCACACACCAACTGTGAAATACAAGCCTACTTTACTTCTCTACAGAATTTCTTTCAGAAACAGGAGATTTTGAGAAACTTCTAAAGTAAATTGAAACATTTATGCTCATGTCAACATAGAAAGCAGAAAGTAAGTATGCAAGTTTTGAAACGAAAATTTCAAGCACAATTTTTGAATCAAGACAAAACAATGAGCAAAGACAATAATAAAGAACTCTACAAATCAGTAGTAGATGTACGTACGATCTTAATAATATAAAATGATTAATACTTGAAAATTCAAAATTTTCAACGAAAATTGCATTTGGGCCAAACAATTGAGAATATTCTGATCTAGAATTTTAAAAAAATTGAAGGAAACAATTGGAGCAATATTTGAGACAATTTTGTTAAAGTATTTTTAGAAAATCATTAAGAGTAGATTCTAAATTATGGAAAAACTACTATTTTGAAAAACTTGCACATCACATTAAGTAATCTTTAAGAATTAACATCATTAAGGGGAAAGGAAAGGAAAGAAAGAAAGAAAAACTTGTGCATGCTGATTGAGTATATACACACGCGCGCCCACACGCCCACGCGCGCGCCCACGCCCACGCGCGCGCACACGCGCACGCACACACGCACACACACACACACACACACACACACACACACACACACACACAACTCTAGCTTCAAGAATGCAATTGTAGGGAGCTGAAAAAACAAATTGACTTTTGAAATTTTCAAAAATTTTTGGTTTTTTCATTATCAACAATAACCTTTTATGTAAAACTTTGATTTCTGGTATCTTACAATTCAAAAACACATGCTTGAATGTTTGCTTTCTTTCTCCTTTTTCCTTTCTTTTTCTTCTTCTTCAGAAAAAGTTTTCCTCTCTTTGTCAAACCATTTTATGATTTTATAAACATCAAATAATAATAATTAAAAAATACATTCCCAAAAACCTAAAACTTTACAGAACCTATCTGACGATGCAATCTACAAAAGCAAAGTACACAAACAAGTACGATAATAATTATTATTATATACCCAATGAACCACTGATAAAGTTAACATGGTTGTGAGAAAAAGGATGAAGAGGAGAAAAAGGAGAAGGTGGAGATGGCAAAAATGAAAATCACTGCCACCTTTTGCTTTAAATGATATGTTTAAACAAAAAGTTGTTTCATTAGCATGCCCTTGGAAATGCTTTTGTATAGTTTAATGTTTCCATTATCAATGAAAACTAAGGGATCTATACCAGCCTCTGAATGTTATATGTTATATGATTGAATTATTCTTGAACTCCCTGCTAATTATACTAACAGATATAATAGCAAAATTAAAAGCAAACTGCAGTATTTGCCAAGTCACCTGTGACTGGCACCATGTCAGCATTTCTGGAAACATATAAAATTGTAGGCAGCCCACAACACACCAATAGTCAGTTTATTTCTAATTATTTTCAAAATTAGAAGCAAAAGCACCTACCCTAAAGTACCTTGAGACCATAAATAGAAATTCTGACTTTACCTAATCACAAACTGAAGTATTTCAGTGTTAATTGGGAACAATCAAACATACAAGATCCACAAAAAATATACCCCCAGCATTTGCACAATTTATTTCAAAATTGGGGGAAATTTTATTTCAAAATTGCAAAAGAATGGGTAATTTCACACTGGAGTTAAGGGAATTGAAGGTAAAAGAAGAGAGAAAAATGAAACAAAAAATAATATCACACAAGTGAAGCGAAAACAGCACCTACTTTCTTGCATTATTTCTAAATTCTGAGCTCAACAAAAATTAAGCGTTAAGAGTTTCTTTTTCTATCCCTGGGGAAAATTTGGAGTTTTTTCAGAAAACGTTTCTTAACAAAGTGCATACATTTTAAGTAAAAATTACGTGTTTTTTCAAAAAAATTGAAAATAACTTTTTTATAAAGAGCTGACTTTTTAGAATAGATTTTGTTGAAAACAAAACCCTGTACCTTCAATTTTCTAATTTTTGAAAATAGAAACGAGACATGCAAGAATTGTTTTACCTTCTTTTGATAGATAAGAAGACAAAATTTAAAGAAAAAATATGGAGCCATTTGAGAAAAAAATTATTTAAAAAAATTTAAAAATTACCCATATTTCATGCAAAAATTCATGAAAACCACTCCTATTTTCAAGCAAAACAAACATGTATATGACCTTATTACAAATCTGTTCTTAAAAAACTAATTGTAATAAGGAAAAATTTCCATCTTCAATATTTAAGATGATTGAAAAATCCGAGAAAAATTAACTTTTGCAGTTTTCAAAAAATCGGATTTTCAACAAAATCGAGATCTACACCTTTCTTTTAAGCGCCCTTTACGCTACCCAAGGACAAAATTTAGTAAAGAAATTGGAGAAAATTTTGAAAATGTTGAGACTTCACGTGAAGTTTTCTCAAAAGTCATAATATTCGTTTCAAATTTAGAGGGCCTCGAGTTCATTGAAGTTAATCAGCGAATATCAATTTTGGAGGAAATTAGCTGAATGGTTACCAATATATTAATTAATGGCATGATTTTGAGAGAAATAGTAAGAAATGTGGCAGATATTTTGGGCATAGAAAGTTTAGTTGCATCCAATGGTTGGATAGATCATTTCAAGAAATGGTACAATGTTGTTTATACGGCAATGTGTAGTGAATCTGACAGTGTAGATAAAAATATTGTTTCTTCCTGAAAAGACTCCGGCCTTCAAGAATTGACAAGAGGATATGACGCAAGAAATATTTTTAACATTGACAAAACCAATATTTTTTCAATTTTCAACCTAATAAATCCTTTTCAATGAAGAATGAACCATATCATGCGGTCTAACATAGAAAAGTTCGCCTTATTGTAATGTTGGGAACAAACGCAGAGGAAACTGAAAGCCTGCATCAGTTTGTTATTGGTAAATCATAAAAGCCACATTGCTTTAAGAATATCACAACCTTACCAACATCAAATGCTTCAAACAAAAGCATGAATGAATTCAGAGTTATTAACTAAGCTACTTCGTGCTTTTGATGTAAAAATGCAGGCATGTAACAGGAAAATCGTCCTCTTTCGTCCTCTTTATTGATAAATGTCCAGCACATCCTAAACGTTTGAACTTAATCCAATCCCATTCCATCCTTTATGACTTGCTTAAGAGCATGTTAGGCTTAAAAAAAGGCCCTTGGACAGTGCTGAGCTCCAGAGCCTGCCTTCCTACTGATAACAGTGACATGTAGTTTTCACCAATTGTGCACTACGTGGGCCTCTCAACCACAGCAGTGCCACTTAGGTGAAGTAATGGGAATCTCTATTACAGCCAAATTAAACAAGCAGGGGTCCATACTAATGTGGGCTGAGATGCACGCCCATGAGCCACATTGGTGTGAGGAAATGGGAAAGCTATGGTAGATAGTTGTCACGCCTGGAAACCTAGCCAGCTTCAGCCAGAGAACAAGAGAGAGAGAATCTACAGCCTCCAACAGGAAGAAAGGCATTTAAAAATATGTAACACCTGGTTAAACACAATGAAGAAAGAATTAGTACAGGCAAAATTGCAGGTATCAATGTTTACGCACGGCCATTTACACCTGCACGTGCCGGCCCCGTCCTTTCTCTTTGTCCATGAATGCCATGTCTTTGACACCCAACACTGCCGGCATGCCACTCTCCTACAAACCACTTGTTTGCCAAGTGCGGTTTGTGATCGCTCATTTGCGCTTTCTACCAGCGGCTCGGCTGTACACACACCGCAGAGGTTTTGGCAGCCCACAGTGGCCCAGAGAGTCCTCCCCTCCTTCCACTTTAGACCAGCCCCCTCCGCCATGCCTCGCGGTAACTACCCCCACATATATTTGTGTGTACCGCTGCACCCCAGCAGCATTCATATAGTAGAATGAAGAGTTGAGAGATTCAATCAAGGCTACAGGCTGCCCACATCGCATCAAATTAGACAATGACAGCACGCATTGCCTGGTCATCATGTCCGGGAACTTGGAGCATTCACTTAGAGGTGTACGGTGACGTATGCATCGACCTCTACACAGCAAGTTCTAAGCACTGGCAACAATTAGGACGAATTCAGCACTTCCACATAACAGATACGTGTTTCTGCCTCCAAGGTGTTGAGCCAAGCAGTTCAATTAGTTTTAAGTTCATTCTAAGCACTGCCATGCAATCTCATTAATTGAATTGAACTGTTGTGATCATCATTAGGAAATTAACTTGTGGTCATTTGTATTTTGTCAAACAATTTTAATGTCTTATTTGTAAATTACTAATTAAGTTTAGATTTAGTTTTCCTTCCTTATTAATTCACGACATGCATTTTGTATATAGTACAGTAGTTTTGTAATTGTTTTGTTTTTCCATTTTCTTAGATTGTAAGTTTTATTTTATTATTTCCAAGAGGCATTATAACTTCCTCTTTATCCTCATTTATTAAATTAATATTTAAGCTAATATCGCTTCTTCATTTATCATTCGGCCGATCCTTCATTTCCTCTTACGAGGTGGTCCTACAACCCTGTATTTTCAGTCGCCCTCTGGCTGAATTGGCAAGCTACTGGAGGCCGATATGTGTGTGTGCTGGGGGTGCATATCATAATCGTTGGTGGTGCCATGTGAGAGGTGGGAACCGCGTTTGCACATGCTCGCATGACACAGATGCTCAGTACACACACAATCTACACTTCCAATTATAACACGAGGTCCATTGACTGTTTATCAGCTGTGATGCTGTCATCCAATCGGGAGCTTCAACATCACTGTAGTTCTCTTAACTGGATGAGAGCATCACAGCTGATGAGCTGCCAATGGACCTCATGTTTTAATCAAAAAATCCTGGGAGATAACTATATTTATATGTTGATATAATTTATGTTAATAAATACTACATACAACTAAGAATGTTGATGAGATGTCCATTACTTTTAAATTTGTAAAGTTGACTATCTTATATGTAAAGTTACTAAATAAACAGTTATTGCTAACTCACCAGCAGTACAGCCCCAAGTCCACATCATCAACACGTCTCCCAGATAGTTCGGATGTCGCACCCAACCCCACCAACCACTTGCCAGAAGTTTACGACCACGAGTTGTAGCAATAGTTTCTAGATCTGCACAAAACATAATTTTGATCAAACATAGTTTCTCTATTCTAAACATGAAAATTCATAATTTTATTACTTAACAAGATAGTTAGGTGTCCTAAATAAGCGAGTGTAGATTTGTACTTCCTACAAAATAACTAGAATGTTTTATCTCTTGATTTACCATTATTCATGAACTGCATAATTATTAACAAGTTCTCCATGCAAAATAAAACTGTCTTCAGAACATTATTTTTGAGTTTTCTTCCAAATCTTTCTCCGGTGATTATCTTTAGTATTAAAAATTAATAATGTCTTGTACTGAATAAAATGCTGCAAATGAAACTTACGATTCAATGCAGGATTCACAGGATTTTTCCTAAACTCATGTTTCTGATTGTTACTAGCTCGGTACACCACATAACCAATTGTGTGAATGAAACACAGGACTGCCAATGTTATTGCATGTAACTGTACTCTGAAACACAAGTTCATAAAAACATACATGCCAATTACAAAAAAGAATATATCCACATACTTTGTGAACTATGTATGTTACAGGTCAACAGTTAATATTTGCATATAAGCATTTAGTTCAACAATCTCTACCTACTATTCTTTAACCAATATATTGTATATGGGGATACTACAATTATTTATCATATCAAGCATCACAGCTTTATAAATATGCATTAATGATCATTAATGTAAATAAATGGCCTTTAACGTTCAGGCCTATATACTTTTTCTAATAAGATGCATTCATTTTGAGGTGATTGCACAAATCCTCCTCTATGTTTTAGCAGATTTTTGTTTTAAGTTTGAAATTTTCTAAGACTTCTTTCTGCTCTATATTTATTGGTACTCACTTATGATCCAGCACATGAAGGGTGATTAAGGTAGACAAAAAGGGACAAACAGTGTAGCTTAGTAGTGACATAGCCCCCGTGCCTTCATACATCACTTCAAATGAGGACAGGAGAACACGTTGGTGCCACAGATAATCAGTGTAATAAAGCAGCTGCATGCCCACAGCAAGCATCAGGGTTGGTGAGCGAGCACGACCAGCCTCCAGGCCTCTTATCACAAGCAACACATCTAACACCACCTGCAGAACAGTTCGAATAAATTCAACTTCAAAAGTCTCAATTAATTACAATACTAATAAAATTAAATTAAAAAAAAAAAAAGTATTTAGTCCCATTCAGCCATAGGAAATCAATAATAAGTAGGGAATGAATTTATATGGAGTAAAAATATATGAAATATGTATGTATTTATTTGTATCAATATATGAAGTTAAATATGGACAAAAATTACTATAGAAAAATAATATTTTATTGCTAGTTTATAAACCTTTATATTTAAATTCTGAAATGTAACTTCTAATTTTATACTGATCGACTGAGCTAATTATGGCATTTCACACTGGCTTAATAGAGATATTAATAAAATTGAACCAACAGATAGGATTTTAACCGGAAAGTAACTGACAATGAGGATCTATACAAGTTGAATTCTGATGTCCAAGAATTGTGATGTCATGTGATTTCTGGGTGGCGGCCTCAGAGGCAAGGAAAAGGGGTAGAATGGATACTGAAACAAGGTGCTTTCCCAGAGACCGTCGAGATCTCTAGATAATCTGTCAAACAAATCCAAAAGAGAATCGGCTCCTCGCACCCCCTTCTCTCCACGGGACACTCAGAATGGATCAGAGTTGAGAGCAGTATCCTTCACATAAATAAACACATTAACAATATCTCAACTTGCTTTCAGATTGTCAATTTTGCCCAATTAAAAAAAATGTTTAAAAAATTAGTAAAAAAACGTTAAGCTCTTATTGTTGAGATGATTTTTTAATGTTTAAAGAATTTTCAGTGCTAAGCTTAATTTGTTAGTGTATAGACTGATATTATAAGAAGTACGGAAACTATACAAACTTTTATTCAAATATGAACCAACAAAAACCAAATTTTGAAGATGCCTCCTGGGAATATTTTTCATTATTAAATAATACTAACTATTTATACAAAATAAAATTGCATTGTCTCATCATGAATTGCCTTATTGAATTTTTATATCACTATTTTCTTCATTATAATCATCATCAGTTTTGACTCACTTGTGTCATTGTTTCTTCCTGAGCCCCCTCCCATCTAGGTCATCAGTTTTTAGCCCCCTCTCCCCCATGGTGATGACTGATTCAGCATGAGATAAGATTTTGCATGTGAGTTTGTGTGTGGCAGGGGAAGACAAAATGAAAGAGAATGAGGACGAGAAGGTGAGGAGAGAGGAGGAGAGACAATAATAAAACCATATCTTTTAGTCCAGTAAACACAGTTACTCGAATAGGTCAAATTTGTTGATTAATTAATTAATGCAGTAACTGAAAGAATTATTATCAACTCACAGTGCTAATAATCATTGCATATAAATAAGCAGTCTTCACATCCAATGGACCCAATCGAGGATTTATTTCACGTCCAATGAAAAAATCGTAGATTTTTATTCCAGAATTTCCATGGGGATTGAGAGCCACCACTGATGCTCGTCCACCCTTCACAAATAATGCCACAGCTACTAGTAATGCAAGTATTGCAGCTGTCACGAACAGGGGCACCAGTTTATCCAAGATCTTTGTAACAGGATAGTCCAGATAGTGAAGCCCAGCAACTGCTGCCAGAGTTAATAGGCAGTTCCAGAATGCTGAAAATAGGATTTAACATCAATTATTTCACTGCTTTGCATAAAGTATTTTACAGTGAAATTCTGAGAGTGCAGAATACAGTAATACTTATATTTCAGAACAAATAGAATAATAATGAATTTGTGTGTTTCAATGTGTTCACATGAAACTTATCACAAGATCTTCATGAATATTTTAAATCTATACATTGTAACGATCAATTGTTATTTGCATAACACCCATAACATTTTGACCAAACTAAACAATGAAACAACTTAATGTCGCGTTTATTTCCAGATAGGTACATATTTGAATCTTCACAAAGTCTAAAAACTAAAGGAATATGATGAAGTATTTACTAAAAGACTACATAAAGACAATGTCATGAATTCCAGAGAAAGATACAAACCATTGCACCGATAACGCAAGCGGCCTTGTTTGTCAGGCAGTCCTTCAACCACACGCCCAATTGGAAGTGTAGCTAAAATGAACTGAAGAAGCAGAAAGCCTAATCCAATTCCAGATGCTTCTAGATCCACAAACGTCTGCCAGTTTCTAATCGCCTTCAACAAAACAGGACCTCCTCGCACCTGCAAAATATTCCAATTTCTTCATGAAGCATAGTTAAACTGAAACACAATAGGGTCATTTAGTCATCATACATTAACATTCGCTTAAATGTTATGTTGTGTATTCTTAAGTTTGTCTCTTGTCAAATCTCTTCCAAAGTTTTTCTTGATTATTCCATTTACCCCATTATATTTTCAAATTTTTATTTCTTGATCTTCTGAATTTTGTCCAAGCATGTTTTCTAGATACATAAATGTTACTACTTGTTCTATTATTTTTCCATCTATAACAATTTTAACCCACCTCATTTCCTTGCCTTGGAATGCTGTAGCTTTCGTTATATTTGTCGAGATTTTTATGTTGTATGTTAGGGCTATTATCTGAAGTTCATTTGCTGCCTTCTGTAAGACATCTGTTTCCATTGTTAGGATCATGTCATCTGCATAGAGAATCATTTGGACCATTTGCTTTTGTTTAAATTTATGGTGATAGCCCACACACCTGTCTCAGTTCTCTGCTTGTTCTAAAAGTCTCTGTATTGCTTCATTCTTACTTTACTCTGAGTCTGTGTACAGACTCACTATTCCTTATCCTAGACACATTATCTATTTGAAATAAAGACTACCGGTAGTAAAAACTGTCTCCCATTCTGTGTTCAAACTCTTCGTGCACAATTCAAATAATAAAATTAATATTGAAACATTAGCTTTATGGAGAACCAATTATGGTAAAAAACCAACATGTGTTCATGTCTGTTTGTCACTGATCAGGACCTCTCAATGCTCATAATGAGAAACTTAAATGCAATTAATAAATTGCATATACTTTTGCAACATATCACAAAGATGTCTACAGTACACACGAATATGATAAATGTATAAATGATATTTTAGGCACTTAAAAATATTGTCAATTATTGCTTTTCTAACAAATGGACTACTTTACATTAATTGAAAAAAAACTGAAAAGTTGCTCTTAAAAGACTAGAGCTACAAATGAAAGCCTTTACATCTCGACTTATAATAATGCCATGGCTTTTGGACACAGGACACTGAAAAAGGCATGCCAGTTGCTCACAGATTTCTAAAACCATTATTTATTTCACATATACTTCAAGAATTATCATAATCCATGAGACTTTTCTCCTGGAAAGTTGTGTGTGTGTGTGTGTTTTTGAAACTATGGCCGTTTTTTGAAAATACCTTCAATTGCAGACTGAACTGGAATTATTTGAGTAGAAGCAAATATTTTTTTACAGTTCAATTTCTTTGTAAAGATGTACTGTATGAATAAATAAGATATGGGTATTATTGCTGTTCTTGTGGTTTCTACCTTTACAAATAATATTACATTAAACTACAACTTAATAAATGATGGGCAATATTTGTCCTCTATAAATGAAAACCAACTCAAGGTCTCTACCAAGAAAAAATTAAAATAAATGCAAATAAATAAGTTTCCTTTCACTCCATCTCAAAAATAAATCATAACTCAATATAATTATCAGTAAATAATCTGTAAATGTAATTAAGCAATCATACATTCTTGGTATTTCCTTGTACATTGAAGAAACATGTACCATTAGAAAAGGGTATTCAATTCAAAAGGGAAATTAACCTCATTGCAAACAATGCCGCCATACAATGTTGCTAAATTTAGAAATTTTCCACCCAACGGGATAATCCTGGTGCAAGGAAGTTCTCGTCAATGCTTCACGCATTAGTCTGGTCCCTTAAAATTAAATGATTATAACACTGTTTGACTTGAAAAAATAAACCAAATTCCTTCTGATGCATTTAAATATGTTAATTCCACAGGGAATATGTCCATAATTCAAGCTGATAGTGAGCGGTGGTGCCCTCTCATGAATGAATTAACTATGAAAATGGCATTTACACTACATTAACACTTTTTGGTCCACCTAATTTTCTCTCTTACTGGCAAGCCAGGTCTTTGTCTCGCCCTGTTGGCATTTTGATTTCTCACCACCTGGTCCGATGTCCCATATTGCAGGACCGCATATTGACGTAGTAGTTCTAATGCTCTCTGTGAGAATGCAGAAGCAATAGTATTTGTATGGAGGCTATCAGGGCATTGTTAGCTTATGTTGCCTTAAGTTTTCACCAGATTTCATTTCATAGCTCTTAGCAACATATGCTTATTGTAAATATCGCCAATTGAGGCAAGATGGCAGTGCCCAGCAAATGAACATGTCTTAACAAGGAATTATACAGAATTCTTAATAGTTCAGACAGAATTATTCTGAAAGTGGTGAGGAGATCGAAGAAATATTCAAACAAAAACAAGACAATCTTCTCTAGCTCTACATGCAAGACAACACTAACTGCATCCTTATCACTGCTTGCAGAAGTACCACTCAAAATAATTATAAACAATAAATATTTAACGAAGGTTTTTGTAATGGCATAGTATGAAGAAATTCAGTAAGTAATGGGAAAATAAAACATTTTTTTCAGAATGAAATTGCGTCCTTTAGGTACAGGTTCTGGGACACAGTCCACATTTAAACCTACATCAACATTCTGTGGTCATTTAAACCTACTGCAAGAAGAAAGCCAACAAGACCTGCAAGAGCATTAGAACCACATCAGATTAACATCTCTAATCGACTCTCATCTAGAATGAGCACTTAGATGTGAATGAACTGTCATTATCATAGGTTGCCCTAGAAAAATTGACTACACAAAACCTGTGTCATAAAGCACTTTCAACTTTGGAATGATTGACTCTCACTCACCATTGAGAAATTGATTAGCTCTTAATAAAGGTAATGTTTTTTTTCTCGGAAGATCCTAGATCCCAAAAGAATAACCTTGAGAATCTCTGAAGCCAAATATTGAACAACACTTAGTTCAGGAAACCATAATTTTTTAAGGGCTGCCACAAGTTTTATACTTCTTTGCTTTCTAAACTGATTACCATTTCATATATTCTTGGCTCATCCTGACTTGGAAATCTGTTCTACAGACAAATGCTGTGAAGGGTTCAGATCCGAGTCTCACGATTCAAGAGACAAATAATTTCAGGTAACTTCAATGGCAAAATCAAATAGTGATATTAAAAAAACTTTGTTTGTGTAAGTTTAAGAAGAACTGCCAAAAAAGCTGTAGTAAAAAACTCACCTCTCGTGAATACAAAAGAAGGGCTATAATAAGAGGAGGAATGAGAATGAGCCAGATAAGTGCTCCCAGCCAGCCACCAAATTCACGATACTTTTTCACTGCTGTTTCAGGTGCCTTCTCCCCGAATTCCCTGATGTCTTCCAATACCGTAGACTTGATGATTCCAAGAGGTGTTATTTCTCGTCTTGACCGCAACACACGTTCTGTTTCAGGGGTGGGAGTAGAATCCTTCTGGATATCACTCTGCAATCATTAAAGAAAATAGTATTGATTTCATTTATTAAATTATATGAGTCAAAATTTTACATCATTTCCCAAGAAATTTGTCAAGTTTTTCTACTTCACCAAGTGATAAAAAATTCTTTCAAGCAATCACTGCAATATATTACCATTTCCAATAATATGAATTTGTATAAAACTGGTGAGCAAATAAAGAATCTGCTAACAGAAATTTAATACGCCAATTATACAGAGAAGAGATAAGAGACAGAGGAAACAAACAGAATGGGGTTCCGTAAGGGAAAAAGAATTATTTAACCAACAGAGGTAGGGATCAAAACGGCAACTACTTCAGTTGTTTCTTCAAGGATTAATTTTTCCCCCTTCCGAACATTGTTAATTTCCCTTCTTCCAACCTCTTTTCTACATGTTGCAATATATTCTATTTTAATTGATTTAAAAGTGATAGCCTTAGAACAGGAAAAGGGGCAACTTTGATGTCATTTGTTATTTCACATTTGAAAACTTATATTGTGCCACAGACTTTGTTCGGACAACCACGACCAAAGAACTTTCTTGAGATGAGCAATAAAGCCTTTATAGTGGTTTACTTTACAGAAAATATTGAAGTAATAACTGTTGGTGTTACTTGAATTGTTCTTCTCATCCTAAGTATCCAAATTTTACTTCATATTTGTGAGCTCTCGTTTGAGTTATCTTGTTAGAGAGAAATTTGTAGAAAACTGTACTGGTTATCAGGGGAAAAAATGTAACAATTCATAAGCATTTGCTTCCAAGCAAAGTGCAAATAGGCCAATGGAATTTTCATCCATCCATTCATCATCAAAGTTTTTCTTATAGAAAAGCCTTTTTCTTATAGCCAATAGATAATAGTAAAGATTAGAAATTATTCTTATGATTCTTTCAACATAGGCTGAAAATTTGGAATTGTTTTACGGAATTAGACTACACTTATTTTTATATTGACTTCTCAATCAGCATGACAGAGCAATCACATATATCTAGTGAGAACTTTTAGCAAAAAAAGTGTGGGAAACAGAAAACAAAATGACTACATCTCAGCCACTGACAATAGGACAAAGGGCTCAGCATAGTGAAGCCCATACTCAGCTGGTGGGCCTGCCAGCGGAGAGCCATGCGGTGGACATGCCAGCGGTGAGCAACAATTGATGATGAAAGTTATTAAACCCGTTTCAAAAACTTTAAAAAGAACACAATTGAAGGGCTCAAGAACAGCCAGTCTTGTGAAACTTCATAATGAAATTAAATTATAAATAAATGTGTTAAGCATCCCCCTCCTCGGCAATAGGAATCTATCCCAAACTTTACAGTACTACTCTTGACATTTTTAGCGAACATTTAACACCGAGATGAACCGAGACAAACTGAGAGGCTCATGAGCTTTATAAATAGTACATCTTAATTTACGACAAAACACATCTTAGGAATATCTGATCCCAAACCCTTACACTGCTTAAGAGGGACTTTGCACACAGATCGTTTAAAAACTCTGTATGTTCGCAGTTGATGGGTGAGCTTATCTGTTGGAGATTTGTAACATTATCATCCAGCATCAAATATGCAGTTCCAATTACCTTTTCAAATGCATTACAGTTCTTGTTGTCTAATTAACTTTATGGACAAAGGCAGAAAACGGTGTTCTCAATTAGAGCTGTTTACTCTCCCATCAGAAACCTGACAGCAGCAGAGCTTGTACTGCAACGAGTAATACCTTAACACAAGTTTTTGCTATGGTTTAAGTACAAATGGATAATAAAAGAAACTAATATTCTGTTTTTGCAACATTGGGCATTCAAAAAATTACATTTCTGATCTTCAGTGTGACAGATTGTGCAAGTCTGTTATATCTTCATTAAAAGAGAGATATATTGAAGAATTTGATGTAAAATTTAATGGGTCTAGAAGACTACATTCTACTTGAATATGCTATAAGAATAAAGGCATTCCTGATGAGACTGGAGACTTGAAAACAGCTTTGGAAGAATTTTCCAGCTGCCTGACACAGACATACCATAAACAAAAGAACTCTCGATGGTAAATAGCTGCTTGTTCTGACCATTATATACGTGGAAAAAAGAAGATTGTTGATGACAACTCTTATCATGCTGTATTACACCATAACAAACAGAAAAGCCACTAAGGCTACATATCGCATGTTTCTTTAGATTCACATTGTAGGAAGAGTGGAATGGATGGAGATGGAAAAAGTACTCTCCTACCTAAATCATATAAAGAATAATGTTCAATATTTTTCTCACTCACAAAATCTGGATGTAAACTAGCACAGAACAAACATTTAGGAATTACTTACCATTTCAGAAAAAAATTGCTGCCGCTATTCAAACATTTAAAGAATATAGAAAAAACATTATGTACCCTTATTTGCACCAAATCTTCATAGAACTTGAAAAGTTTAATTGAATTACTTTGATAAATACAACAGAAGTGAGTAAGCATCAATTATGTACAAATGGTGCAAATTCTCTGTTCAGTCACATGTGATTTTTTTTACACTCATTATCGCCAAAACAAATTGGGAGCAAGATCAGCGATTAACAAACATGTAGAAATTATTTACATATATTTCACGAATGTTGAGGATTGTGCTGGAGTGTTGTTATTCTTGTCGTTCCAACAACTGGAGAATGTTCGCATAATATCATTGTATTTACGTAGCTAGAAAAGTAAATTTTAAAACTTTCATTTTAAGAAATATTTACATGCACCTAACTTTGAAATTCAGTATTCATGGTCTGTTCATTTACATCCATTTCACAACTTAATTCTCTCACACACACACACCTACATTACCATCTGCTTTTCACATGATTTGCATCAAGTCTTACAATTCTCATTTTAGTGAGAATTTTCTTGTATAGAGAACTATAGACAGAAAAGATTTGTCACTTACATGGTGCATTTAAACCCTAGTTTTAGAAATGAATCGGAAGTTGGTGGTGTCCCGGTTCACTCAAGTGGAATTGAAATGCTTCGCTACGCATGTCTAAATTGAGGATGAGGCCTGGGCCTTCAGCCCTCGTGTTAACATAAAACATCCTAGAGCCTGTCCAATGCACATTTGCAAATGCATTTTATGCAAATATATATACACACACACACACTTACTGATAGGCAACATTCATGGCTCGTCCTTCTTACCCCTTTGTCCCCACCGCATTGAAATGCCAAATTACTTTCACTGGCAAGTTTTCTAGCTTCGCTTGCCCACTCACAGTGAGGCTAGGGCCTTTGGCCCTCGCGTTCACTATCAATATCCATGAGTCTACTCATCGCATAATTACCAATTCACTTTTATAGGAAAGCCCTTTACAAGAAAACCTCCAGAATTCAAACTGCAAAGATACCATCAAAGCGGTGCAAAGTGCCGGTTTAAACGACTTCTGTAAGTTGTTTTGTATACTAGTCTTCAGCCTCTTACTGTAAGATTCATTAAAAAGGACGAAGACTTATACATAAATATGGAATACAGTTGAAAAATCTTCAAACAGAAGTAAGTCAGTATGAGTGTGAAATAAAGAAAACAATGAAGTTGGAAGATGGGTAATTAATCAAGTGATGGAAAGGGGTATGAAAAACTGAAAATTAATAAGTGTAAAAATGGGCAACTTTGATAATATAGTTACGTTCCAAAGTAAAACAATTTGCATTCATTTAAGTAAAAAGTTATGAAAGGAAACTAATTATATACCGCTTTTAAAGAGAGTATTCGTGTAGACTTCCTCATAGTGATGTTCGAAAAAGATGTCTTGCTAAGGCTGGACAATGATGCCTCTGTTAAGGATTTTACAGCTGAATTGGCTCGTTCCACACTCTGTCTAATGGCAGTGTTGGCTCTTTCAATACTCTTCCTCACCTCATCATCTGAAAGCAGTGATATTTTTTAAGTACTCAATACATAAAAATTTGAATTTTCCTATTCAACCAATACTTAAAAAAATGAAAACATGCAAATAAATCACAATACCACCTTTTACAATGCTTACAAAAGTTAACACAAGAACTACAAATATCAGTAATTCGATGATAAATCCTGAGGCGTTTATTCAGTCTTTTACAAGAAACAAATAATAATTGGTTAGAGTAGGGTACGCAGTACACCCTCACAGAAGTGTGGCAGCAGCAGCACGTGGAGTCTCCTTCAGCCCTAATTACTGTACATGCTCTGATAGAAATGAATAATACTTACGGATAGGCAATTTTCATGGTTTGCCCTTCATATGCTTTGTCCCTGTCGCATTGTAGTGCCAATTTACTTTCAAAGGCATGTTTTCTCGCTTCACTCACCCGGATCCAAGTTACAGCGAGGCATGGGCCTTCGGCCCTTGCCTTCACTACAAAACATCCTTGAGTCTATCCACTGCATAATTACCAATTCACTTTAATAAGACATTACTTTTGAAGAAAGCCTCCATAATTCTAGCTGCCTAGTTAACGCCAGAGTGGCGCGAAGTGCCGGTTTAAACGAATTCTATAAATTGTACCGAATACTAGACTTCAACCTAATAATTTTCCACCATAAATCAAACCAGTGTACACAAAACTAATAACCTGTCTCCCTTTGTTCAATGATAAAATTTACTCTGTTACCAATCACTTGTTTTTCGGATACAAGAATAATGCCTGCAACAGGATCTATAACTAGCATAACAGCAAATATTACCTAGAACAACTTTCAGAACTTTGTCATTGATTTGTCCAATGACTGACTTTTCAGGAGATTTAGAAGGAGATTTTTGTTTTTCAGTAGTCTTGCCAGTTCGAGAAGGAGATTTCTTGCGACCAGGTGAAGCTTTCCGAGCAGGAGAGGGAGGAGCCTTGCGACTAGGCGATGCCTTGCGTGCTGGAGATGCTTTCCGTGCTGGAGAAGCTTTCCGTTTCACATTCCCATCCAAACGTCGCTGAAGAGCAGGCGGTGAAGATTCTGGACGCTGGACCCTGCTTGGAGATTTCTTTGTCCTAGGGCTCTGACCACTTTCAGCCCTTTGCTAAACAAAAAGAAATTAAACATTATTAATACAGCCTGGCATAAAATTCTTAATTCATAAACCATTGAATTTGGTAAAAGGAAAACTTACCTTGACAAATTTCTGATCCACAACATATTCAGAACCTTCTTCAAATTTCACTTTATATTCTTTATTTCCAGAATCAAGAACGACACCCTTGTAATAGAGATTGGAACCTGGCCACTTTGCTAAAACCTTGTCGCCTTTGGAATACTTCATGTTTCAAATCTGAAAAGTAGGTATAGCAGGTATGTATGTATTGGGCTGAGGAATAAAATACCCACATATATATTTTCGTCACCGGGATAAAAGAAACCATTGAATCATTCTCAAAAAGTGAATCAGTGCATTTCAGTCATGCTGATGCAAAGCATCAATTTTTAAAATTTTGTTCTTACGCCAAATTGAGCACAGCCACCCACAGAAACATACGCGCCTTTGCATAAAAACACGGTCCTTTACAATTTCTCGTCTATCTTTGAAAGAATTTAAAGGTTCAATATAATTATTCCCGATATTAAATATAGTAACAATATAAAATTAACATAATTTCATTTAAAACAATTTTTTTCATTAACTTACAAGCTTCCAAAACAACAGCTAACTCCACGAAACCGTAACCGACGCCAAGCTTTCCATACCGCTAACAGAACTGTCGTTTTATTGGTCAGATGTTGTTAATACGTTAATGCCATTGGCTACCAACGTACAGAATTTTGACCTTTGCGTATAATTGCAAGGTATGATAAAAATTATTTAATTTCATAATTATATTAAAAAATATTTCATAGAGAAATAATTCATTATTTCAAATTTGATTATTGAAATACGGACTAATGCACATTTGAATTTTAAATAATTTTGGACTTATAATGCATTTTTCTTTTTGGCGCTTATTATATTAAAAATGTACTTTCTGGAAACCCGGAATGATTATAAAAACGTATTTCTGATTTATAATGCCACATTAAGAAATTATTTCCTTCAATAAGAACTCATTTTGATTATTAACCTATATGCTCCAAGTGGCGTCTAATCACGGCCGCTTCAACTACATTGTTTCACATTTCACTTTTGAAACCTGGTAGATGGCAGTAGTGTACAGGTGTAGTAAAAACCCTCCATGGATGAGAATTTTGCACACCAATGCTTACCGTAATATTAAAACAAATAAAACCCCATTCTCTTTGTAAAAATCCTTCTATATAACCTGTGTCTTGGGATACGGCCGATCCTAAGTATAAGTTTAAATTATACAATATATAAATGTGATGGCCGGGCTCGGGTGGATTGATATGAGATTTCTGAAGCAGGGTGCATATATATACCCCCCACGGTGTTCATGGTTAACTCGTATAATTATACTTCTGAAGATAGCTTGTAATATTGCACTTGCAATAGAAAACCATGCCAACTACTTTGTACGCTTTATAAGTGATTTGAGGGAGGATCGGATTGATGAAAGGATAATTAATTATTGTAGAGAAGTGGTGAAAACTCTGGTCAGAAGCAGGGAGGTTTTTGTAACAGACAAGAGGGCTAAACATATAAATTGGGGCTAAATATATAAATATTCATCCCATCTAGAGATCTTAGTATCAGATTCTGTTCGCTCAGCTAATCGAGCTTCAAGCATTGGTGTTAATCTTTTATAATATAAGTAATTATCCACCCACATATTATATACACATTGCTTTCGCCACTGGCCACGACGGAACGTGCTGAAATCGAGCTCTATTGCTGGATGGTTGGTAATACGAAAAAACAAAACAAAAGAAACAAACGAAGGGCGCAAAAGCACACGGAGGGAGGTAAAGTGGAGTGCTATTTAGTGGAGTAGGCGGAGCACGCAATAATAAGCAAGATGGCGTTGTTCATTGGGAGGTGAGTTTGTTAGTGTCATTTCGTATAAGTATGTCACGTAACGTAATTAACATTTGAGTGCTTGATTGCAGATTTGCTGCCAATAAACACTTAGTATCGTGTTATTTTCGTGGATTATATACATCATCGTGAGTACTCGTCGATATGTAACGACCATATTTCTTTGAATTTAAGTAAACTAGTTATAATTATCTCATTCAAAATTTATTTGTTTGTTTGTATTTTAGTCTCAAAACTGTATCGATCAAAGCGGCGCCAGCTCCACCTCCGAGCACAGAAACTTTTGATGAAAAGAATGCAAGGCTCAAAAGGCCCCAATCTCCTCACCTAACTATTTACAAACCTCAGCTCACTTCTATGTTATCAATTACTCACAGAATGACTGGCATGGCCCTGTGTGGTTACATGACTGTTTTGGGGCTAGGTATGGGAATTTTTCAGTTGGATTAATTGATCATTTGTATTAATAGAACATGTCTCAATTATTGAATCGTGGAACCCTCGAAAGATCAATTTGATATACATTAGTCACAGTTATTGTAATCTGACAGAAGATGCTATTGTCCTTTTTCAAATTTTGTCTAGGTTCTTTAACACCCTTTGTGGACTTCCCTTTCTTGGCAGAATCAATTGCTAACTTACATCTGCCAGGAGCTGTACTGTATTCTGGGAAAGCTATGATCGCTTTTCCTGCTGCCTATCATTTTATTAATGGGATAAGACACTTGGTAAGTTAAGAAATATAGTGACTTTACTCTTTAATAACTTCATCTTTTGCTTCTGTTCTTTTCTCATTTTATTTTTAGCTTTGGGACACTGGCAGATTCCTGACCATCAAACACGTCTACACCACTGGCTATATCACTCTTGGTATCTCTCTTTTATTCACTGCATGGTTGGTGACACTATGAAAATAGGAATATTTTCTATATAACAATAAACACGGTGAGGAGAATTACTGTTCAATATGTTAAGTATTTATTTATATGTTGAGGATATTGTAGAATTGTAAACATTTAGGTCTTCTTTTGACCAGATTCTGGAATAAAATAAACAATATTTATTACAGGATGAAACTTTATTTCTGTAAAATATTCACTTCTTTTGCTTTCCCGATCTTTTCTTTCACATTTTAGGTAGAATACAAAGAGATTCTTTGGTAAATCAAAGTAATATTCTAAGGAAAAGGTTGCACCATCATCTATTTAAGAACGAGTCAATCTGAAAACATGAACTTGCGGTAATATTTCAACTCTTCAATGCTCTCTTTGATGTCAAATAACGCTCTATGCTGCAACTTTTTCTTTGGAGCGTTGCGGAATGCGTGAGGAGCCCAGCGTCTGAACAGAAACAATGTGGATTACAGTTTATTGTCATATGTTTAATACAGTGAAGCTTCATTTAAGTATTTTGCAAGCAACATCATAGGACACCGTGAATAAAGAGTGAAAAATTCATTAAATATAAAAAGAATAGCAGTGCTACAGAATGACACTAACATGAGAAATTTGTGTGAAACCTGTTTTTATATCCAAGTTTTTCTCAAAAACAGCTCCAAATTTTTCAATGAAATGTCCATTGAATATTTCTGAAAATGCATAAATTTAATCCATTTTCACCCAGAACTTTTGAGATTTAAGGAATTTTGTAAGAAAATAATAAAGAAAGTAAAAAATAAGGCACTTGTACACATAAATGAAATTTATAAACATCGCTTGTAACGTTAATATTCATAATGAGCAAGATGCACAAAAGAATACATTTGAATAATTTTTGAAAAATCAAAATACAAGATGCTTATGACAAAACATTCAGTGCATTTAGGACATACTTCAAAACGTTCCTTTAAACTTTTTGTGAGACCTCAGAAAATATCTTTCAAGCATTTCTGAAAATGCAGAAGTTTGAGCTAAGTTTCACACAAAAGCTTTTTGAGCTTTCGAGACTGAATTGTAAATATTAACAATGTTAGAGATATTTCAAATAAATTACATCATGTAATTTCTGATATAAAAAAAGAATACTTTTACAGCAAAACAGAATTAATGTTACCTTGTATACCTCAGAACTATATGTACAAAAATAAATTAACGGCAGTTTTTTGAGAATCTTTTTTAATTTACATATTTTTCACTCAAAATAATGTGTCGTAAGTACAATAATTATTGGTCTAATTGTGGAGAACATTTTATCAGAAGAAAATGTCCATCTTCAACATTCTAGTTGTTGGAGTGAAAAAATGTTAGTAATCTTCAAAAAGTGACAGTAAAAGTGAAAATCAGCCCTATGGCACCATTATAAATATATTTCACTCCATTCTTACGAGAAAGTTTTAAAAAAATTGAAACCATTTATGAACAAATTTTGGGTTGCGTCCTGTAAAGAACACCCAAAATTTCAAAAATGTTTTTTCAAAATCACAGAGCTTTGAATCAGACCAGATTGACTGAAAAATTCTAATTTTGCAAAAAATCCTACGAACAGTTTAGTAGCTGGTGTTGTTTAAAGACTGACATTTTGATTTAAAAAAAGGTTTCAAAAAACTAATGGAAATACAACCCAATACTTTCTTGTATTATTGGTGGTGGTATGTAATATTATATTGCACCTTCTAGCATTTCACTTATCCGTGAAAAATTCAAACAATGAAACTCAACATTGTTAGAAGACTACTATATTTTGATAAATGATTTTATGAAATTATTCATAAATCTAATTCTGGAAAATAAATTTCAATCAGGAAAAAGGTTACTAACTTCAATATTTAGGGTAGGTTAAATAAATTGAACTTTGTGTGTAATTTTGAGCTACAAGATTACAAACTACAAACATGTTCAAAAGGTTTTCATAACAGAAGTTAAAAGATCTGATATTTAAGAATAGATTGCGTTATTAAACTAGAGGAGCTACAATAGCACATACTTTCTCGCTGTTACCATTATGTAATTTGTTACAATTTCTGCCTCCCTTACACTTCAAATCACCTTATCTCAATAAATAAACGAAGCCTGAAATTTTTTTTTTATTCAAAAGTTTAACAGAAAATACATTTCTGGCTTTAAATTCAGAGTATTCACGAACATATCCCATGCGTATTTTGGCCTGAAAATATACGCGAGAAAGTAAAATTCACAGAAGAGCCAAGAAAATCGTATAGCCATGCATATTGAAATAAAACGATCTAGAATCAATCAGAATACGGCGCTCCGGTTGGCAACGACTACACAAGACAAGCAGAGTCCAGTTGTTAAATCGGTTACTGCTGCTAAAATGTCAGGTTATCACGATTTAAGTGAGTTTGAACGTGGTGCTATAGTCGGCGCAAGAGAGATGGGGCATAGCATCTCGGAAGTGAAGCAATGAAATTTGCATTTTCCCGTAAGACCATTTCACGAGTGAACCGTGATTATAAGGAATCCGGTAAAACATCAAATCTTCGGTATCGCGGCGGGCGCAAAAAGATTGGGCAAGAACGGGACCGCCGACTACCGAGGAGAATCACTGCACGTGACAGAAGTGCAACCCTTCCGGAAATTGCTGCAGATTTCTGTTGGGCTATCAACAAGAATCAGCGTGCGAACCATTCAACGAGACGTTATCTATGTGGAGTTTTGGAGCCACTCGTGTACCCTTGATGACTGAACAACACAAAGCTTTACGCTTCGCGTGGGCCAGTTAACACCGACATTGGACTGTTCATGCCTGGAAACAAGTTGCCTGGTCTGACGAGACTCGTTTCCGATACGACGGTGTATGGGTTAAAAAGCGCTTTATCTGAAAAATGATTTCACCTACAAAGCAACAACTCTACAAACGTTTGAGACATGTGTCACTAAGTACGTATAATTTCCTGAAAATCTGTGAAAGTCGCACAAATGAGATGGAGGGGGGAGGGTACTTCTCCAAAATTAGACCTGAAATTGAATGACCCAAATGCAGAAGACAGGTGACGCGGAGAACCTTTCTTGGTAGGGAAACGCCTGCAAAATCTAAAGAGAAGGCAATTTATGTAGGCGGCTACCCTCTCCACAGAACCCAGACCGCGACCCCTTCGCCCCCTCCCGCATGATCCCTTTCCGCCCGCAACACAGTTACGCAAATTTTGAATGATCAATAATGAATCGCGGTGTTGTGTCGAGAAAACTAGACGGAAAGACATCGAAAATGAGCTCGATTCGCCTAAATTTATTGTCTCTAGTAGAGTTCCGCGTCGATTGCTGTAGCAGAATGATGGTTTTTAATCACAGGAAAATTCCCTTAGGTCATCCAATAGCTGCCATGGATGAACTTTCGCTCCGCCTCGGCTCGTCGATGTTTAATTGCTAGCTGTCCACGCCTCGCCAAGCGAAAGAGCATCCACAGCACTCAACGCCCCGCTCGCAAAGCAATCACAACATACCACGCATCGTCACGCAGTCCGTTGCCACAGCTGGCGCCGCAGCTCAATGCGTGCGTCAGAGTCATGGGTACAGAAGGGCGATGACTTGGTCGCCCTCCGCAGATAACTTTTAAAGCTATTAAAAGGTTTTGATACATGCAGGCGCGGAGCTACGAGGGGGTAGATGAGGAAAGTCCCACCCCCAAACAAAAATTTTCAGTAACTATTAATTTTAACTTCTCACGAAAGTAGTAAGTAACAAGTGAAGCTAAAACAGCCCGTGTTTCGAAAAAATTTGCATTACCTTATTTCAAAATCTTTAAGAAACATATTTTATTAAAGGGAACAAATCTTTACCTTTAATATTTTAGTAGTAGGAAGACTCCGGAAAAATGTTCAACGTTTGCAATTTTCCACAATTCATGTTTTTCAACGAACATTCCACACCATTCTTTTAAACATTCTTCTCACAAACTATTGAATAAAACCATTTTATCAAAACAGATGAAACTTTTTTTTAATTTGAAAAAGGTCCCAGGTCATTCATATAAAGAACCCCCCTGAAATTGAAATATCGGTTTCAAGTTCTAGGGCCCGTACCAACAGCCAGATCGATTGGGAAGCATCAATTTTGTAGAAAATCGGCTGATCGGCTTAGCCGCTAGCGTTCACGTACTGACAGACGTTTTCATTCGATTTTTCGGTTTCAAGGACCCACAAAACCGATTCCTGCTACATCAAGTGTTAGAAGATTTTTTTTTCTAAATTTAGCAACTGGATTTATCTACTTTTTGTTACCAGGGCCCTGTAATAGAGAGTTTTTCTGCCGACAACGAATAAAATCGTATCGCAGCATTAGTTTGGTTAAGTCTGCATTTTACACAATCTGTAATATGACACATTCATCCAAAACATTTTAATTAACTATCTGAATGTACCGATCACACTCGACGCAGTCGGACATTTATATAGTATCTCTAGGATGGGGAAATATAATTAACGGGCGGATTTTTATGACCTAAAACATCGCCCAAAATGATCAATAAAATACTTTTAAACGTTTATAAAATGTCCTAAAAGCATATAATGACGTAAAAATGTTTATCAAAACAATTCAGATTAGATACAAATTTAGATGCGTAATTCAAGCTGCTGGATATGTTACTGACGTAATTGGTCGGATCGAGGGCGGACGTTAACCAAAAAGAGGCCAGAGAAAAATAATAAAATGGCAAAAATGCAGGAAAAATAAAAATGATTATCATAAGAAAAACTTGTGGAAACGTCTAAAAAGTATCGAAAAAATAACTGTGCGTTCTCTCCTTAGGCTTTTAGTTACGAATGGGATTGTATTTTACCCCAGTGGTTCGTATGAAAAATGTCGACTCTTCTCCATAGGCGTGTGACAACTCTCTTTCTTACCCCACTTGACAAGCGGTGCAACGGCGACTTTCATGTATTGGTTTGTGGCCGACGCAACCGAAAACAGAGTTGGCGGAGTAAAGGCCCATTCTCAATGCAAACAAATATAAGCATGGCGTTAACATAAAATTTAGGACAACGCCCATAAGCGGACTCATTCACAATGCGTTCGCATAAGCTCAACACGTAAGACGTTAACTTAAAAGCTTGCAGGCTTTAAGCATCTGTGCTTATACTTAAGTAAGAGATAAGAAATGAACCGATCACAGTACGTTAACTCAAAATAGAGAATAGAATTGGAGCGAAGTGGATAGAAGAACTAACACCATGTACCTAGGGGCCATGGACACAGTCGAAACCTCAAAATCTATTCTCACATCCAATATAAAATAAAATGTCTCACAGACAATAGAAACTCTTATTTTGCTTACGTGTATGCTAACATTGTCAATACTTCGGTCTATCGCCTATGTTAATGTTTACGTCTATGCGTTATGCTTTTGTTAACGTTTGCCTGGGTCTTATGGTCTCTCTCTAGGTGCCAAGCGAATGATCGTGGGCCGCTGTGACATTTCGCGCAATTACAGTGTGCCCGAAACAAAAGAATAGGGCATGAATCGCTCACATGCGCCTGGAGACGGCACGGCTAATAAGTTTTAAGAAGATAAAAAAATATCTAAAACGAATAAGAAAAGAGAAAGAAATTAATTAAAAGAAAAAGAAGAAGAGGCTTGAGACATATTTTGTGAAATTCTGTCAACTTTCTTCAGTTCTGGACAGTAATGTTTGTATGTAAGCGAATGTTTAATTTGTAAATCGATATCATGAGTTTTTATTTAAATGCTATCTGTTCATATTCGTACCATTGAATGAAAAATATAAAACCCTAATCCTTCGTCTCTTTGCAGCTCTGAATTCAACGATTTTAATAACAAATTATTACTATTTTGAATTTAAAACCATGAAGTATTCATTGAAAATTAAATTTAATATTTTAACTTTGTTAAAAGCATTGTATTATAAATAATTTACTTTATATATATATATATATATATATATATATATATATATATATATATATATATACATACATACACACACATCCTCACACACAAATCCCCCCCACCCCATATTCATCTTTGGATCCGCCCTTGTTCTTGATAGATTCTGATGAAGAAAAGGGGTACTGTTAACCAGAGGTGGGATTTCGGATCTTTTATTGGGGGGAGGCAAAGGGACTCCCCGCATAAGATGGTAAAACATTCCCTCAAACCAAATGGCTTGTGAGTATTTACATTATAATTCCAACATAACATAATATTTTTGAAAGATTTCTCAGCCCCCATATCACAGCCCACACCCCTTTACAGCCAAAAACGTGTTTTTATTTTAATTTGTTCGTCAACTTAACATTATTTCATCCGGTTGAAAAAATATGAAAA